TCAATGTTAGCACTTAGGCGCCTCACTCCCTCTGATTTTCTAGATTTATTTGCTCATTTTTAGTTCATTTTCCAGCTCATCATTAGCCACATTCAGATCTGGACCACTTTGAAATTATCACCCATTCACATTTATCACACATATATAAAACATTTTATTTCGTTTTCAGCTTCATTATGTATATTCCAATCTCTTTCTTCAGCCACATTTTCTCTCAAATTCTCTCATCTCCTTCATCCATATCACACGTCCAGCTTCATCTCCTTCAATTTTCAGATTTAATTCTTTCATTTTTCACCCTCAATCACTTCGTCTGGACTTCTTCTCTTCATTTCTAATCCACATTTCATTCAGCGTCCATTCCTTTGTCCAGATTTAGCACCATTTTGTCCTCTTCTATCTCAATTCCAAATTTAGATTTCATCATTCCATCACTATATTTTCATCCAGCAAGCTTCATGATTCTAGATTCACCATGGTTTCTCAAGCTCAAGGTCTAATTTAGTTGAAGAAGAAGAGCATGAGAGGCTAATCACCTAAAGCTCCAAGAAGGATAACTTGACATTATGAGATTTTCAGATTTGTAATCTTCATTCACTTTCTTGATTTTACATTCTTTTCTTGATTCATAGTGGAATTCAAATTCTGCACCTAGTTTGGTTAAGGATTTTGTAATTCTAAGTTTGATTTGATGAGAATATGAATGATGGATTTAGATTTTTATGCTATGTCCATATCTAAAATTTATGATTTAGCTTGATGTTCTAGGGTTATTTCATAAGTTCTTGCTCATTCTTGTTCAAGTTCATATGTAGACATAAGTTAGATCCATATTGGTTATATGAATTTGGCTTAAGGTGTTTTTCTTCCACTAATTTTGGTCTAAAACTTATGTAGAACAAAGCTGGACATAATGTTAATTCTAAATTCACTTGACTTAGATTTAATAGTATCTATTAAATCTAATAGTGCACTACATTTAGAGGCTTCTAAGTGTCTCATATTAGGTTAATTAAGAGGGTTTGTGTTAATATATTTCTGGAAATCAATTATTAATGTTAGGAAATCTGACTTAGCTCATCATAATTACCATTTATTCCATTCCAATTAAAATAGAAAATTACAAATATCTAATTCATGCATTTAGACTTAGTTTTGATTACTTGAAATTTAGCTTAATTTGTAGCACTTGAACAATAATTTGAATGTCCCTAAGGAAATGACCTAGGATATTCACTTCTACATTTTAGTTTTAAATTTGATAACCTAAGGCGACTAAAGGTTTATCAAAGTAGTAGAAAGTGGTGAATGAGTAGTGATGAGCCTAGATTGACTAAGTGAAAGAGAATGAATGGCTAGATATAGTTTTTACTAGTAAGTGCTTTTGGTCAATTTGATTAATTGACTAATAGTACCAATTGTGTGTAAATTAGCATATTATACATGTAGAGTGAGAAAGGAAGCATATAGAGAAGCGTTAGTAGTTGTGAAATCCATGGTAACCTTTCTAGTGATAGAAGGATTAAGGTAATTGAATAACTTCTTTTGTTTGACTATCTATTATAACTATTTGAAAGTATGATATCTATTGCATGACATTGTTTTAAACCGAGCATGTTTTGAGACAATGCATGGTTATTGCATAAAATGGATTTCAGTTACAAAAACAGGTGAAAATATGTGGTTATATATATATATATATATATATGCATATGTGGTTTATACGAAAGCATGGTCATAGGGGTGAGAGTTCACCCGTAAGGAGAAATAGTGAAAGCCCATATGGCATATTCTCTTTAGTGTCCAACAGGGTGCGATGTCAGAGAATTTCATCTCCTTAGTACTTTTTTAGGTGTAGTGTTAGAGACTATCTCCTTAGTGCTTATGAGGGGTGCGGTGTTGGAGATCTAAGCTCCTTAGCATCTATGTAATGCAGCGTTGGGGTAACAACACCTTGATGAGTATGTGATAGGGGGAAATCATAGTCCAAAAGTGGGACAGAATACCTTTAGCTGGGTGATTTTACAACTGAAGGTGCGCTCAGGTCAGTGAGTGTGTATTGGCCCATTATAAGTCTATAGTTTCAGTTGTGGTGATAGAAAAGTTCGGACAGTAGTGATCATGCAGAAAGTAGTGATTTGCAGTAAAAATGGTTTTATGAAATTATATTTGTATTATATGCTATGTTTGAATTATATATATACTATATTTGCTTATAGTTACTTGTGATAGTTTATAGTAGTAGGCTGTTTTATTATTGAGATTATTATCTCATCTCGTGGTTACATTTTTACAAGGCAAAGTAGTAAGCTAGGAAAAGGGAAAGACTAAAGGCCAGCTTAGTATGGATTAAATCATGCAAATTTAGAGTTTGTATAATGGACTTTGTCTCTTGTAAATATTGTAAATGAAAGATGCCATAGGACTTGCATGCATGTTTGAATTATAATTTCTAGTGACTTTAGAGAAATCTTAGACAATGTGTGTGTAAATGATGTGATTGAGGCTAAGATTTGGTTGTGAATGTATGTGTGGGTATATATGCAATGAATTGTGGTGAAAACTGTATGGGGATTATGAGTAGAATGGCCAAGAATACACTGTTGTGTTTAGTAGTGAAATATAGCCCCTTTTGCTTGTAAAATGGGCAGTTGAATGGTCAAATGTTAATTTACGTGAATATATGATATGATGTGTGGTTAGTCAAGTGTATAAAGTTCTTTTGGATCTAAGTCCTAAACAGTTTAATGAGGCTAAGTGAGCAATTTGAACACTTTGGTTTGCAAACTTTTTGGAAAAAGTGACATTTTGCACTCTAGTGTTCAAATTTAGATTGGACTATTAGATTGTGTTCAAACTTATCTCATTAGTTAGCTTATGAAATAAACTTCATGTGTGCAATTGAATCACTTTGATCGGATGACGTATGTGAAAACTGTGCACGCCAAAAATTCACCTTTACGAATTATCATATAACAGTAAAAATCTATCATGTGTGCCGTGACATATGGATCAATAAGCCATGGCGCATGGCATAAAAAAGGGAGCCCATAGCTTTGTGCCATATGCCGTGGTGCATGTGGTGCATGCCACACCGTGGCGCATTACCCACTTTTTAATCTTATATCTCTTATGTTTAAGCATGGGTTGAATGTGATGAATGCACGTAGTTGTCTTCCGTTGTGCAATGATTAATATGTATTGGATTTCAAATAATTTTGAACAATTTTGAAAATGAAGTCTTAGGTCCCAATCGCTTTATAAATTATTTATTGAGAACAATTTGATATATTTGATATGGTGATTATGTTAACTCCTCCTAATATTTTGTAGATATTGTCTCAAGTAAGTTTCTCCTTTAGAATCTATTAGAATCCAAATTTTGGGAATAGCTAGATGATTAATCCTGAAAAAGTGATTCAAGATTTGCTCTATCTGTTTACAAAATTTGAAAGCTCTGAAGACAGAGCTCCCTAAATAGTTTGGTTTTTATCATTTATCATTTTATAAGATAAAAATATCCCTTTTATTACATAAAGATTAAAAATGAAAAATAAAAAACACAACATAGTTTTGTTAGAAAATAAATGACTTCTTTGTAACTTCAAATGTATTTACATTAGATGACATATTAGATGTATTTCTATCATCAAATGTTTAAAAAGACTACATTTTTGCAACTTCAAATTAATAGCTTAAAGATCATTTATAATTATGTTTTTAAAATATATCTCTTGAAAAAAAATACAATTAAAACCATTCAATACGAAGAAGTTTCATATACGTCTGTTACTTATTATTCATTAAAACCTTTGTTCTTGTGAAGAAGTGATTAAAAAGATTCTACAAAATTTCATGACATTGTATAACTTAATAATTTAATTTGATTAAATAAATAAATGACATGTAAAATTAATCAATAACATTATGTCTATTCTTTTTATAAATGATGTTTTAATCTTTAAATGATAAAATTTTTAATAAGATCTTTAAATAATATCAACGTACATAAGGTTTATCTTTTTATATATTTGATGACAAAATATTTATTTTTCATGTTCTAATTTAAATTGTGTTTTTTATGTTTGTTTCTCTCACACGAATTTTAATTACATTTGTGCAATGCACGAGGTTTGAATATTCTTTATTTTGAATCCTCATCGCTCTATTTATTTTGCCTTTTTGTACACAATCTTAACAAATATCATAGAATAAATGTAATTTAAAAAAAATATAACTATATATACTAAATTACAAATATATAAAATATTTCACTTTCAGTGTCTAAATCCTACTATAATGGGTGTGACTTATCCAAGTTTTATATCTAAATTGCTTAATTTCTTGAATAGATGTAAATTAGTCAACTTGTTCTTACATTAAGACCAAAAAAAAATATGCCATATTAGAGGGTTAAACATTCTAGTAGGCAAGTCACTTACATGAGTCTAAATTGAAATTAGAATAATACTTTCTAGGAATTATTATAAATTCATTCTTTATTTTATTTTTTTAAAACTAACTTCTTGAGGAAAAATACTTTTGACAGATCTATAGCACCCTTAACCAATGAGTGTTTTGTGAAAGAAGGTTAAATATCTATTCTTGCATATAAAAAACAAGTGCGCATGCGTTTATAATATATTTTGAATAATAATAATAATAATAATAATAATAATAATAAATTTTAAATTGAATAGTGTGAACAATTATGGAATAAAATATTATTTTTTAATAAAAATTAATTATTATTAATAACAATTAAGTAAATTAGATTCAGTGAATTTCAAATTAATGGTAAAGCCTTAAAATTTAAGAAGACGATGATTTACCGTTCAACCAAAATTTATGTTGGGCTTTCTTTTATTTATTTATTTCCTTCCTTTTACAAAGGGCCTTTTATTTACAATCATGAGTGATGAGCACATCTGCGCGATTCTGCGAAGCTATTATTAGTGGCTGCTATCATGTAACCTAAGCGAGGCACAAATAACTGACGGTATCTGCGGCGCGACTCTTCAAGACTGAGACTCAAGTCATAGGGGAACGATTGGCTGGGGCCTCATGCCTTGCTAGGGTTTTGAACCGTCACCTCGTTTTCGGAGGGTTCTCCGCACGGCAGAGCGATGCCGTCTACGGCAACCCTTTCTCGGCACAGGCCGAGTGTGAGAGAGGGTTTCTTTTGGCTCGGTGCATTTGTGTGCTGGGCAATTCGGTTTTGTGTGTGGGCGTTCTCAAAGAGGGTTGATGTCAATTTTGGGATATTGGTCTTCGGTTGGACGATTGAATGATCTGAGGCAAAGGTGACTGGGATCTAAGGCGAGTTTGAGGATTTTGAAGGAGGAAATTGTGAGTTTGTGTTCGCGATGAACGACGAAGGTGGTAGCAAATGCGCGTCGGTTTCCCTGCCTAATCACCTGCCCGCTACTTTCATTCCTTCCACTCCCTCTTCTAGAATGTCCTAAGCAAGAGACAAAGGGCGTATAGGTATTTGATTCGATCACAACAGAAGGCAGCACGAAGAAGATGAAGGGGACAGTGCGCGTCTATTTGAAGTGCCATCTGTGACCCAGTTCATGTTGTTCTTGGTTGGCGGCGAGGGTCATCAAGGAGGCGGAGGACAAATGAGAATAAGATCGACATCCACTCTGACCCCTTCAGGTTGTTTAAAATATCTTGTCACTTTTGCCCATTAACAAGCTATATCAGAATATAGAAACCAATAATCCCTGTCTTCTCCGCTGTTCTTCTTTATTGGTCTTCTTCAGTCATATCGCCATGCTTTTTTATTTTTTCCCTCCCCATGTTCTAATCAATTGTTCTTAATTACTTCTTCGTTTGTTTTCTTCCTTCATCTAGGATTTCTCCAATAAATTAAGCTTTGGAAGAAGAATTTGCGATGGGGGAGAGGATTTGGGAGGAGTGAAGAATGGTAATTGATCTAACATCTCTCATGGTTAATGCATTTATATTTTGTTAAAAAAATTATCCTTTCTCTTCCTCTATGCTTTGATTAACCTACTGAATGATAGCATTCAATATATACAAAGCTTGGTCATTTTCGTCAATTTCTCCTTCCATTCTTCATTGGTTTTTAAATTTCAAGTCTCTCTCTCTCTGCATCATCCTTCCTTTACTTCCACAGTGCACCACAACCAAAACTCTTTACTATAATCTAAACAGAATCATTTTACATTGTGCTCTTCAAATATGGTTTTCATGCTCATCATTTTCTTTTGGGCATCGAGAAGAACCGCAACACCCTCTTTTGGAGACTTGTATATGTTGTTTGTATTATGTACTTGATTTACATATTGTGTCTGTATTGCTTCACAAAGTTTGGTTGATTGGATTACATCTCAGATTCCTTCATTTAATAGTGGATAGTCAACAGTTTTTATTTTGGGCTTACTATTAATGTAAACTTGCTAATCATCTTTTATTTGTGGGTGTTATGATTGATTGTTGGATGTGGTCAAAGATATAGAAGAGTACTGAATATATCTTTTGATATATTTGAATTGAGTTTAGCTTACATTGTTCCTTTGTGAGCAGTGATTTCTTACATTGAATACTATATAGTGTATGAGATGTTAATTTGCTGCTAGAATTGAAAGTTGATTTGGTGTTAAAAGTTTAAAACATATAATTTTGCATGTGTTTAGTCTTAATAGTATTTGCCAAACCACAATCAAATGCTTGATCTCCGTCCCCTTGTAATAAACTTGTGTGCTTAGGCATATGAGTTGGAATTTCAATATGAGTTGGGGCTATTACATTTTGTCCCTGTTGATCAGCATCATATACGTGGTTGAAGCAATAAATTCTTTATTTGTTAGCCATCAAATAGGGTGATAAGTAATAATGTATTTTTTTTATTGGTCTGAAAAGAAAAAGCCAATCCATTACTTCAAAGAAAACAATATCATACTCACTGGCATGTTTTATTATGTGGACTTTGTGGTCAATGTCTGTAGTATGCATGGAACCAATTTGATTGTGAACTTACTAGAGAGGAAAACAAGGTTTAACCTCCATTTTCATCTCAAGAAGTGGCATAGAAAGCTTTGCCCATGCATTTTCCGGCAGCTGTGACGATAAATTATGTTTTTTTAGAGTATACTTCGGGAAACAATACTCTGATTCTCTTTTGAGTTTACTTCAATAAACAACACTCCAATTCTCTTTTGCTTGAATGGGAAAAAAAGCTCGGTAAAGTAAAATTTGACTTAAATTTTTGGGATGTAGTGCTCCTTGTGACAGTTTTGGTGATATTAGCAATGAAGAATTTCTGGCAGCTGCATATGAGGATGCTAAGCATGGGATTACCTTATAATCAATTCTAAGTTGACAGTCAATTTAATGTAACAGCTTGCCTCTTTTCACTCTCAATTTGGTAATTTGTGATTATTCACACCGAAAAATTCCATCTCATTGGGTGACTTAGTCTTTTCCAAAGTCACCTCACTCATTTGGACAGGTGTACCCTACTGGATTAATATTAATATCATTGCAGATTTTTGGTCAAAAAGAAAATATTCTCCTTACATTTGTGATGTATTGGTCTAGCTGTAAACATTTGCATCAACATGTTTAAATTTTCCTTACTGCTATCTAAATTTGCTGTAGGCTTTGGTGTGTTTAGTGTTTCTATATTGTGTATTTAAATTATTATTTAAATGATCATGACATTTAAATTAAATATGAAGCAAGCTAGCATAAGAAAAATAAATACATATATATATATTTTAAAAAAATAAACCCACAGGAGTGTTTCTAGTAAGAAATATATATTATGACATTTACTTCTATTGAATGTCCCCTTGTCCTCCTCCTGCTGCTGACTTCTCTTTTTTTTTTCCCATATTCTTGATGATTTTTTTAACCTTTCGTTAATTCTTAGGAATTGATTTAAGCTCAAAAAATAATTACTCATTTGACTTTGGTACTGCTTGAGAAATTTCCCTTATGCTGACAAGTGGATTTATGATTGGAATTTTTCATGCAAGAGACTGTACTTTGACGGCCCTTTTATTCTATTATGCCTTTTAGCTAGAAGTAAGTGATACTTATTTTCTTTCAGGTTTTCCCTGTTAAAGCAGAACTATTGAAGCCCCAAGAGAAAATGAAAAGACCCATAACTGATTTGATTAAAAAGGTATCTGTAATTCCCCAACATATTTTATCAATGTATCTGTCTATTTAATATGTTTAATTTGTAATTTCCCGACATTATTTTATCGGTGTATTTGTCTATTTGATATGTTTAATTTGGTAATATGCTAGGGGGTGTAAATATGTTCTTGAATGCTATTGTAGAGCTTAGAAGATGCAACTGATGCTTAATTTCAAATGTTTATGGATTTTTTTTTTTAGAGTTTGAGTCTTTTTTATGAACAAGCTCCTCCACCAAAGAGCAGTAAGGAATTGTTTGGAATCATTGTAGGTGCTTTTTAACTAAAAAAAAATATGTAAGTGCATTTTTTAATGGTTGTCTGAGGAGTTTGTTCATTTTTTAATGTCTATATTTTATATCTTGGATCCATTACCCATTGATCCCAAGCCACCGGGTAATTCAAGAAGGAATATTGATATCGAGCGTATCTTGAAGGATTGCATGTTGGTTGTTAGGGATCACACCTTCAACTTCAAGTGCTTGAAGTGCTTCAAATTAGGTTGTATCATCTCCTTCACTTTTTCTTTTCCTATGGAATATTGCTGGTTGATTTTTGTGATTGGCAATTGTCTAAGTGGCTGGGTAGGGGGATCTAGTAGAAAAAAAGTCATCCGTTGCATTTAGGTTTTGTCATTTTGAAGCTTTCTTTCCCTTAGGTGTTGCATTCATTTAGGTTGATATGTCTATTTGCATTGAGGGTAATCATTTTGAAGCTTTCTTTCCCTTAGGTGTTGCATTCATTTAGGTTGATATGTCTATTTGCATTGAGGGTAATGTAACATTTAAGTGTGGGGGGGAGTGTGTTTTAGGTCATTTGGCCAAAATTTTTAAAAAAAAAAAAAAATTTGGTTCTTTTTTTGAAAGATCTTTAGAAAATTAAATAAAAAGTTTTGTTTTGATATAAAAATTCTTAGTTTCATGAGATGCCAATGGGATTTGAATTGTTAGACTTGGTTGTTTCAAGTGTAGCTAGGATAGGATAGAATGTTCTTACTTGGTTTGCTTGAGCTAGGGGATAACAGAGCCCTGATGGAAGGTTATTTTGAGCCTATACTGATTCCTTTCTAGTGTGCGTTTTCCACTTATTCCATTTCATTCTCCAGAACTTGTTCTAATTCTTTATCAAACCTACTTTTGCATTTGCATTGTGAAAATGATCAAGGCATTCGTATAAAATAGCCAGCCTTCGTATAAAATAGCCAGTCTAGCCAAATAGCCAACCTAACATGATCATATCCTTTGCTAGCCATTTTGGGCCTGTCGGTTATTTTCTTTCATTCCATTTGTTATTTACACCCTCTTGCTTTCTAGGAATGCATGTTATGCTATATTTATTATTGTTGGGATTCATTTGCATATCTAGTATTCAAGTTTTGGATGTTTTGAGTTGTATTAATATTTGATATGAATTGTGAACGAATTGAAGGTGAAAGCTGAAATGATTGTTTTGCAGTAGCCAGAAAAAAAAAAAGGAAAAGAAAAGGAGAAAAAGCCAAGAAAAGATTGTCAAAAAGAAAAGAAACAAGGGCGATACAGCTAGGAAGAAAAAGAAAAGAAAACAAGAAGAAAAAGTCAAGAAAAGATTGTCAAAAAAGAAGAGAGAAAAAGGCAATAGGCAATGTGAAAAAATGTATAAAAAAATAGAAAGAAAAACCAGAAAAAGGAAGAAGAAATAATAGTTATTGCTTGCTTAGTTATGAATCACTTTGCTCTTAATTGATAGTATTATTGTATAATTTCCATGTCTTGAACCTAGCTCATGCTCATGAATCCCATGTCATCGGTTTGCTGGATAAATGTGATATATTATACATTTTTTCTTTCCACATGCATTCTTACATCCACTTCCCACCCTTTACATTACAACCAAATGAAAGACCTTTTGATTCATGCATGCATTTTGCTAACAAGTGGTGGAGATTTAGAATTTTTACAAGCCTATGGTAGAATGATTGGATAAGTGGACTTGAGTGAAAATTTACCCCTAAACACTATTGAGTTGAGAGTAAACACTTTTCCCTGTGTGGTTATTTGCCTATCCAAGTTTACTAGGTTTGCATTTTGAATATTCTAGTTGCATGAGAATCATTTCAGGTTGAGCATGGAGAATTGAATTGGCATAATTATCATTTTGAGCATGAACTCATTTATGTTTCTATATATATTTATATATATATATATATATATATTACTTTTTGAAATTTTGTCCAGGAGTGCAATAGCTATGTGTGGGGGATTTTGATGAATGATATTTCATAGCTACTTGTCACCCTCATTTTCCTTGGTTTTTGTCACTTAATCTTTACAAAAATAAGTATTTAAAGTTTTCTATGTTATGAAATTTTATTTCTAATATTTATAACAATTTTTTCTTGCCATTCTACTTTTGTTGCATGTGTCCCTTCTCCTCCTAAGATGGATTTTTTTTTTGGTAGAGTTTGAGTCTTCAGTGACTAGCTCTAACATGAGCACATGTATGAACTGATTGGAATCATTGAAGGGTAAGCTGAACTAGATCTACAATTTAATGTAAGTGCTTTTCTTTACTGGTTGTTTAGGGAGTTTGTGCATTTTTTAATGTCAGGAGTTGATTTACCTTTTTTTTTTCAATATGAAATTTTTTATTCTCTATTCTTCCTATGTTCTTTTTCCCACTTCATATTTGACCTGTCTTTGGAGATGGGAATATTTTGCATTAACCATGTATTGAGCACTCGCCTTCATGTTGGGGGCAATTTTTAGGATGAATATTATGTTTGAGTTGGTGGAGGATACTTAGATAAAAGTTCAAACTATGCATGTAGTTATTGTATTGTCTTGGCTGACACCGGAAATTGATCAGATGGGGGGGCTCTGTCTCTCTGCTTTTTCTCTGAAGTTTCTTTTTCTTTTTCTTTTTTTCCCCTCTTCCTGTTGTTTATTGCTTGTTGCTTCTGCTGGTCTTTGTTGTTGCTGATGGATCCTTTTCATGGAAAGTTTGTTATTTCTTCTTGGTGCAAGTATCATTATGTTCATGGGATCATTTGGGACAGTCGCAAGTTTCATCCGGCTAAGTTCCTAGCTTTCTGGAAGTTGAGTGGGTGTGTTTCTTTGGTTCTGTTCGTTAATAACGGGTTCACTCATTACTCTGAACATCATGAGGATTGCTTTTCATGTTAAATGGTGGTCCGTGTGTTATATAAATGATGGCCTTGTTATCTTACAAGAATGGCAACCTTTAATTCCCTTGCATTTGAATCAATTTTCCAGTTGATTTTTATATGTTAGAAACTTCTCGGTTATTTGGATGTCAGGTAGGAAAATTTTGAGTTTGATCAAAAATGCCTCTGGAGAGGTTATGGTCTTTGTTTCAAGGCTAGTCTTCCTCCTTCAAGAAATCTAAGGTTTCATGGAAACCTCATGTTTTCCTCTGGGGAATCTTTCGCTTTCTTCATTCAATATGAATGTCTCAACTGTGTTTGTTTTAACTACTGTCAGATTGGCTGCGTTCAGGCAATGTGCAATCATTCAATTTCCTTTAATCCTTCTTAAGTCATGGTTCCTTCATGGTCCTTCCAATCTTAGCATTTTGGTATAAATTTAATTTCTTCTATTGGCAAAACCATCTCTGTTCTAACAATGGCGGAATAGAGCAATCACTTGCTTTTTACACGGGGTGCTCTGCTTCAATGGCTACATTAGCGAAGATTGTTCATGAGTTAGAGTCTGTTCTGTCTGTTTTATTGGTTTTTTTTTCTTGGTCTTGTTTGTTTCCATGAAGTGTGTTTTTTTCTGGGTGATGGATTATGGGATAATCCTTGGATTTCAGTTTACTGATGGCTTCTTTATTTGGCATTTTATTTTAATTTAATGTGAAAATGTAGGTTTCAGATGCAGATCACATTGACAGGTTGTGATAAGGGCAATTTAATTTTATTACAGAGGGGTGCATCTAGCACCTGTTCTTGACCAGGTAAACCATTTATTTTTTGTTTGGAACAATAATCATCAGTATTTTATATAATTTCTATTTACCTTTCTTTTTCTAACTTAATGAGTTTTTTCATATTGCCTATAAAAACCTTTTTCTATTTTTGTCTCTGTTTATTTATTAATTTATTTTCATATTTTTTTTATGTTATTGTATGGTAATATTGTTCAATTCATCAATAGAACATTTATTATTTATATTGTTCTTTTTATTATAATTCTTTCACTTTCAAGACTTTTTTTTCATTATATAATGCTTATTATTATTAGTTTTCTTTTCATGTTTGTTCTTTATAGATGGATAAATTTTTTGTTTCTATAAATTGTCTTATTAGTGATTGTATTTTTGATTAATTATTTATTTACCTGATACAGTTGGCTTTGTTGGTGATTGTATTAGTGATTGTTTAATGCAGTTGGTTTTGTATCTTTTTCATAGGAATGATATTTTATTTTGAGATACATGGCATTCATTCATTTTTTTCGTCATTTTTGGGAGAGCAATCTTGACCATCCATTTTGAAAGAAATCATGTTGATAATGAGCTTTTAATCAATTTGTCTGTTGATTTGATCATGGCTTACTCTCATTCCGGATTGAACCGTTTTTTCCTCAGAATCGTCATTTTTTTCCTTCATTATTTAGCTTAAGACTTTAGCACTTCCTTGTCTCGTACTTCTTCATTTTTTTCTTTTTTCATCATCCCTAACTTCTATTGGCGAATGTTCTGACAATGGCAGAGCAAAGCAATCACTTGCTTTATACACAAGGTGCTCTGCTTCAATAGCTACACTAGTGAAGATTGTTCGTGAGTCAAAGTGTGTGCTGCTTGATTTTTTGGTTTGGTCTTTCTATGAAGTGTGTTTCTTTCTGGGTGATGGGATATGAGATTATTTATTTGCTATTTTAATTTGATGTGAAAATGTAGGTTTTAGATTGGAAATTGTGGTAAGGGCAATTTAATTTTATTACAGAGGGTGCATCTAGCACCACTCAACTACATCATACCTATTCTTGACCAGGTAAACCATAGATTTTTTTGTTATCGGTATTTTATATAATTTCTTAAAGCTAGCTATTTGCCATTCTTTTTTTAACTTGATGAGATTCACTGATTTCACTTGATTATTTTTTTGCTTTCTAATAGGTATTGTTTAATACAATTTTTTCTTTGTTGTATAATTTTTTCTTTGTTATCTTAGATTCCAGATTATGGTAAGGGAAATTTAATATTACAGAGGGTGCATTAGCACTGTCAACTAGATCATACTTGCTCTTGGCCAGGTAAATCATAGATTTTTTGTTTGGAACAATAATCATTGATAATTTCTTTAAGCTAGCTATTTACTATTTTTTTTTAACTGAATGATTTTATTTTAAATGGATCATTAGTGATTGATTAGTTATTTATTTACAATCAGTTTGTCCATTAATTTGATTGTGGTTACTCTCATTCCGGATTGAACCACTCGTCGCTTACTCTTCTTTTCAATCCTCTAAGATATCACTTTCCTTTATTATTTTGCTCATTCCTCCTTGTCTCCTACTTCTTCATTTTCTCTTTCTTTGTCATCCGTAACTTCTATTGGCCAATGTTCTCACAATGGAGGAACAAAGCACTCACTTGTTTGTTTTTTTTTTACACAGGTGCTCTACTTCAGTAGCTACACTAGCAAAGACTGACTCATTTTCTGTTTGTTTTTTTGGTTTTTTCCTTGGTCTTGGTCTTGTCTTTCCGTCTTGTTCATTATATTATTTTATTATACTCTTATTTTTCTATTATTTTTTCTGTTTTTATCTTTGTATATTTATTAATTTATTGTCATTTATTTTGTTATTGTAATTATTCAACTTTTATTTATTTGGTAATATTGTTCAATTCACCAATAGAATATTAGTTATATTGTTCCTTTTATTAAGACTTGTTTATATAATGTTGAATTTTTGATAAACATGGCTAAATTAGTAATTAGTGGTTTGATTATAATTTGAATGTTGAGTTGATAATTTTGAGACACTATTTTGTCATTTTTGGGATAAGACCACCGGTTTTAAAAGAAATTGTATTGATAATGAGCTTTGATAATTTAGTTTGGTCTTGTATGCGAATATGAGATAATTTATTTGCCATTTATTATTTATATTGTTCCTTTTTATTACAATCCTTCACTCTCAAGATTATTTTCATTTTATATTTGCCTCTACCAATTCGTATGGCTTTCTTATCACTAATTGTATATTTTTTATCATCTCTCTTTTTCACTTGATTGTTCATTATATTATTTTATTACACATTTTTTGTCTTATTTTCTTTTTGATAGCTTGTTTTTTATCTTTATTTATTTATTAATTTATTTTCATAATATTTATTTATTTTTTTGTTATTGTATAATCATTATTCTGGCAATATGGTTTTGAGACACATGGCATTCACTCTGGACCATCCATTTTGAAATTTATTGATAATGAGCTTTTAACCAATTTGTCCATTGATGTGATCATATTTCTCCCATTCAGTCGTTGCTTATTGTTGCCAACGTAAACTAAACTGTCATTTTACTTGAAAAAAATGCAACTTAAAAATAATGAAAAATTACAATCAAGTCCTATAGAAATATAGCCAAGTCTTATGAATTAGTATGTGCTATACAAATGATTCTTACACAAATACTTGAATGATTGTAGGTAAAGGCCAAGTAAAGGCTATTAGACAAACTTTGTACAGGTCTAGCATTGGTCAGGTCTACAAGTTTACGGTGTGCGATTGATCTACAATCGAGGGAAGAGAAAAGGCCATAGGAACCTTAGATTGTTCTATCCACAATTGGCACAATGGGTACAATGCTAGATGGGATAAGAAATAAAATAAGGTGTGTTTGCTCTATCCTTGACAATAAAATCCCCAAACTCACACTTTTGTGGCAAGGGCAATTTGATGCACCCTCAGCTACATCATTCCTATTCTTGACCAAGTTGTTTGGAACAATAAGCATAAGTGTTTTATATAATTTATTCAAGCTAGCCACTTGATATTTTATACAATTGGTTCTTTGCTTGTTATTTTATCATCTCTCTTTTTCACTCGATTGTTCATTATATTATTTTATTACACATTTTTTTTGCCTTATTTTCTTTTTTGATAATATTATTTTGTTATTGTATACTCATTATTCAATTTTGTTTTGGCAATATGGTTTTGATATCTTGATACTTGGTTGAGACACATGGCATTCACTCATTTTATTATTAATCTGGACCATCCATTCTGAAATCGTATTGATAATGAGCTTTTAACCAATTTGTCCATTGATTTGATCGTAGTTTTCCTCCTTTATAGTTGTTCATTATATTATGTTGTTAACATTTCTTTCTGTTTTCATTATCTAATGCTTATTATTGTTTGTCTTCCTTTCATGTTTGTCGATGGATATTTCTATAATTAGTGATTGCATTTTCATATTTATCCGATAATTTTATTGTTGGGATAATGCGTCTCAATGTGATCCCTTAAGTTTATCAATATGTTTTTTTATTATTTTTTAAAAAATATTAAAAAATAATACCTTCAGTATTTTTTATGCTAATGTTTTATTCCCAATAATTCCACCCCTATTGTTTCATTGTGTCTTTTCGGCAACTCTATTGCATCAACATTGGATAGATACTTGGTGCATAATTCAATTGCTTCTTCAACTATGTATCTCTCAATAATACATTAAATGCGGTAATGACACATGAACGTTGAGCATCTGAATTCAATTCGGGACATGCTCAAAGAAAGAATCACAATTATATTCCAAAATACTGGATTAATGATAATTTTTTAATTTCACAAAAAATGCATAATCTTGACTCACAAAAAAATACTGGATTAAAATAACATCAATTGCAGCACAATAACTCAATCAGAATGATTTAAATAAAGCAAAGCTACTAAATAAACTCAATTAAAGAGAAGAGTGAAAACAGTTCAAATAATCCAATAGCCTATCTAAAAGGGCTTAAGAGTAAAATCCCATAGACCAAAATAGATGACGCAAATCTAGTGGGCCAACAGAGAGCTACAGACAACCCAACCCAATTAATAGAGTTAGATCATAAAGAGCATGGCCAAAGGAGTGGAGGTGAAGTACTTGGAGCCCAAAAGGAGCTGTGTGATGTGTGATTGAGTCTTATCCCCATAAAGGCCACCTGATTCATAAGGTACAAGACCATCATAATATGTCCATTAGGCCCAAAGATAATAGCCCAACACAAGGACGTGAAAGAGCCCAATTACTAGTATGCAAGTTCAAGAGAGAAAAGGGAGTCCATTTGTGATGATCCAAGTATTGCAAGCCCAGTCCATTGATCCACAAGAAGGCCTATGCATCCAAGCCTCTTCCAAGTGTCCTAATTCACCATGTGCTAATTGAAAACAAGGGATATGGGTTGAGGGAAAGAGGAACAAAGATGGCCTGATCTATCTCATATTTTACATATATAAAATTTTTGGCATCAAATTATGCATGATAGGGTTTATTTCTTGTCTTTTACATATTGACTTCATAGACCTTAATAGTGCAATAGTTGTTTTGACACTTTCATACCTTAATTGAGATCTTGAGCCTTAATTCTCTTTTCTTTCCTTTTTAATTGTCTTTTTTAAGATTTTTTGCTGATTCTTGTTCTAATTCATGTTTAAACTTAAGCTAGATTCATATAGTTATATGAATTTGACTTAAGTTGTTTTTCTTGCACTTGTTTTGGTCCGAAACTTGTGTAGAACAAGGATGAACATAGTATTAAATTTACTTGACCTAGATTCATTAGTGTCCATTAAATTTAATGTTACACCACACTTAGAGGCTTCTAAGTGTCTCATATTAGGTTAATTAAGAGGGTTTGTGTTAATATAATTCTGGAAATCAATGATTAAGTTGAGAAATTTGACTTGGGCTCATCATAATCACCATTAGTTTTTAAATTTGATAACCCAAGGTGACAAAGGGTTCATCAATTGGCAATCTTGTTCAAGGTCTAAATCCATGAAGATGCAAGCCCAATTAATGAAGACCCAAGCCTATTTAATTCACCATGTGTTAAATATGCTTGAAGGGTATTATGGACAAGAGGAGCACATATTTATGATCATAAATGAAGAGAGAGAAGGCATGATCTTCATCATCTTTAAACCTTCAATGCAAATTAAAATTATTTCTTACTTTAGCCTAAGTTTGAATTTCAAAACTTAATTGTTTTCCTTTTTTATCATCAACTTTAACGCTAAAGTAAAAAAAAAAACAAAAAGAAAATTTGCTCAAAAAAATTAGCAAAAAATTAGTGTGCTAAAAAAAGGATGAAAATTGAAAAGAAAAAAGAAGAGTATGATTGAAAAGCATCTTTATTCCCAAGTAGAGTGGTAAGAAACCCTATCCTTTGGTCACTTTACTTTATTATCTCTTTTGTCCTTATTTCATTTCCTTCTTATTCTTTGAGACTTGTGTTTGTTTCTTCCCTCTCCTGACCATTCATTGATTAAGAAGACCCCTCTCTTAATTTAGGGCTTGGTTGGGTTTCTTGTTTGTCTCTTCCCTCCCTTGATGTAGAACTTGGTTTGGTTTCTTTTGCTTGATTCCTTTAACTTTTGCTTGTGTGTTCCTTTTTGATGTCCTTTTAGTTTCTTCTTTTTACCTCTTCTTGTTTTCTTGCAATTTTGGTTTAGAGATTTTCACTGTTTTGGTTTTGAAGTGCTTCCTGTTTCTTTTTCTTTGCCACCATGAGACCTCCAATCAATGCTTTTGGGTGAAGTCTTTTTTCTCAACCTTCTTCTCTTTTTGTCATCTTGCATGAGAAAGAAATACGGCGAGAAAAAGAAAGGTGCTTGAGAGAGAAAGAGAAGAAGGTTAACAAAAGAGGATGAGAGAGAAAAAGAAAAAGAGCTTGAGATTGAAAAAGAAAATATTGAAAAGAAATTGAGTGATGAGAGAGAAAGAGAGTTACTTGAGAGAAAACCAAAAGAAGAGAATGAGAAAAATATTGAGTATAAAAAAGAGAGTGTTGAACCATGTAAAGAAAAGTATGAGCAAGAACATAGTGAGAAAGGTGATATTAAGAGTGATTGTGAGGATGTTTCTACTAACACTCTTAATCATTCTTTACCTTGTGTTTTTAATATGTTACAGGTTAATAATTGTCTAAAACCTCTAAGTATGCTTATGTATAATGATGAACTTTTGATTACTAATAACCTTAGCTTTTCTATTCCAATTTGTACTATCCATTTTTTTCATGGATTTGATTATGTGATCATTAAAGAAGTTTCAAATGGAAGTAAAAGGACAATCCAGGACTACTCTTTGCCACCTTTGTCTACAATTAAGGAGAAATATAAATACATAAGTCATTCTACTAGAGAGCATAGAAGAATGATCTTCGACCAAGGAAATTGGACATGGCCATACAATCCTAAGCTAAGGCTTCTAAAGAGGACAAAGTTGCATCCCAGAGGTGATGACCCCTTTCATGATATATCTAGCTTGAGCGACTGTTTATATAAGTGATTTCAAGGTAAGTATGATGTGACAATTATTCTTGGTGTTACTAATTTTTCTTATTGTCCTACTCTAGACTTACAAGAGCCGAGGATGACTCTTTTTCAAGAGGGGGAGTATGACACAAATCTAGTGGGCCAACAAAGAGCTACAAACAACCTAACTCAATTAATAGAGCTCGATCATGAAGAGCATGGTCGAAGGAGTAGAGGTGAAGTACTTGGAGACTAAAAGGAGCTAAGATGTATGATTGAGTCTCATCCCCATGAAGGCTACATGATTCAAGACTATCATAATATGTCCAAGGATCCATTACAAGGTATTCAAGGCCCAAAGATAATAGCCCCACATAAGGATGTAAAAGAGCC